CATTTTAGCAAGCTTAGATATTATTTTCCCAATCTTCCAATTTTCAATACTCCAGGATGCCTTTTCATATCTTCTGGTTATATCAAGATTTATGCTAAAGTTCTCTGATTGCTCTAGCAAGTGCCTTTTACTATCACCGGCTTTAGATTGTATCCAATCAATGAGGAATTGTTTCTAACATAAAAAAGACTATGACAATTGTGTTCGCAGCCTTCGCCGCGCCCCACCACCGCTCTCTAACGCCAGTGCGGCCTCTCGCTTGTGGAGCTCCAGCCGAAGGAGAAGTGGGGTAAGTAAGGAGGTGCCCATACCATGGCTCGTACAAAGCAGACTGCCCGCAAATCCACTGGTGGTAAAGCACCCAGGAAACAATTGGCTACAAAAGCCGCTCGCAAGAGTGCGTCCTCTACTGGAGGGGTGAAGAAACCTCATCATTACAGGCCTGGTACTGTGGCACTCCGTGAAATCAGGCGCTATCAGAAGTCCACTGAACTTCTGATTCGCAAGCTCCCCTCCTTTCAACGTCTGTCGCGAGAAATTGCTCAGGACTTCAAAACAGATCTGCGCTTCCAGAGCGCAGCTATTGGTGCTTTGCAGGAGGCAAGTGAGGCCTATCTGATTGTCCCTTTTGAAGATACCAACCTGTGTGCTATCCATGCCAAACGTGTAACAATTATGCCAAAAGATATCCAGCTAGCTCGCCGCATACGCGGAGAGCGTGCTTAAGAGTCCACTATGAGGGGAAACATTTCATTCTCAAAAAAATTTTTTTTATCAGTAGTTCTGAATGTTAGATATATTTTCCATAGGGTCAAAGGTACCTAAGTATATGATTGTGAGTGGAAGCATAGGGGACAGAATCAGGTATTGGCAGTTTCTCCACGTTCATTTGTATGTGAATTTTTAATATAAATGCAGGATGTAAAGCACTAATGCAAGCAAAATGTTTCAGTGAACACATTTCAACAGTTCAACTTTATAATAATTGTAAATAAACCTGTTAAAATTTTCTGGACAATGCCAGCATTTGGATTTTTTTTTAAATAAGTAAATTTCTTATTGACATTGACGGCAACTAACTGGTGTTTGTAGCATTTTTATCATCCAGTAGATTACATCCATCACTATACTTTTCTAACTAAGTTGTCCTACATGCAAGTATATGTTTTTAATGTTGTCTGTCTTCTGTGCTGTTCCTGTAAGTTTGCTATTAAAATACATTAAACTAAAAAAAAAAAGACTATGAAGCAGAGTACTTCTTTTTTAGTAAGTAGTCCTTTCATTGAGTTCAAACTACATTCACTAACAGTGTGATGTATATTATATTGGTAAATTGTCATATGCTATTTTATCTCACTGAGAAGGCAGCTCTAGAAAAGGACTCTGCTCCGTACCCCCACCCTTCAGACCCATGCATGTTTATGTCAAGTGCCCTCCATGGCATCCAAGGGGAATGACCCTGCTAACTCTGTGACAGGGAGGAATAACAACAGCAAAGCAGCCCAAGAATAATAAAAAAAAAAACATTATGTCCTTGAAAACATCTAGAAGGTAAGCTATTTTCAACAGAGGTTACTATTGTTTATCCCATGATATAAAAATGCCTACAGTAAGAAAGAGAAGGCAGAAGCTTAGCCATAGCAGGCTCAGTCATAGATAGAAATCAGGAAATTAGCTGACATCCTCAACATTCCTAATTGGTTTCTGTTGTATAGTATATTTGATGCTGTTCTTTCTGTTATTATTTGTTCATCTGAAGCCTCACCTGAGGGGGTACTCTAGTCTACACACAATCTTTCTTGGGAACCTCAGCTGCCTCTCTTAACAGAACTTTCCCCTTTGATTACTGTTGAAAGTTTTAAATACTTGATCTGATAATGTATTACTATGTGTGTATGTATATGTATCTATCTATTGACCATTTATCTACATATATACAGACCTACTTACTTCCTGCTTGCTATCTATTACTTATTGTGGCTTGCAATATACTTAATGAACTTGCTCATTCAAAATTAAAATAATAATAATAATAATAATAAGGCTACTGTAGATCATTCTACAGAGACCATATAGAACAGACAGAAGCTCCTACAGAAAAATATCACTAAATAGTTAAATGTAGGAGTAAAAATCCCCAATCCTGACTGGTAAAATGGTTTAGCAAGTAAATGTGCTTGCCATACAGGTCTAGCAATCTGTGTTAAACCCCCCACACCAAGATCAAAATTAAAAGAATACACTCTACAAGGTTGTCCTCTAACTTCTACATGTGTACTGTGCCATGTGCATGCTTGCATGTGTTCATACATATTCACATAGAAATAACAAATCATTTTTAAAATATCACCTTTTTAAAAAATCTCTTTATTCTATTACAAAACAATTTATTCATCTATTTTACAAAGCAATATTTTCAAGTATTGAACTACCATTCCTTTTTTACAAACCCTTTATAACAGCCATGTGAGATAAATAGATCACTTAAATATACTCTGAAATCAATTGTAATTGTTAAGAGCAATATTTATAAAGACTATACAAGCATAAATTAATTTAAAAATCAAGCTGTAAATGTTTGTTTCTGTCATTTGTTATGCTAGTAAATATGCTATCTAGTAGTTTATATATTCTGAGATCTCAACAGTTAAATTTTAGATAGGAGGGACTTTGTCTTGTTAAGTACTGTATCTCCTATACCTATCATAAAGTTTGGCACAAAGCAAGTATACAAAAATAAACTTTTAAAAATTAGGCTTCTTATTGTAGTGTGTGTGTGTGTGTGTGTGCGTGAGCACGTGCATGTGCACACACATGTGTGTACACATGCACACATGCACAGAAGCCAGAGGAAAACACAAGGGATGTCAGGCTTGACAACAAGCAATTCTACATGTTGAGCCATCTTATTGGCTCAGACTTATACTTTATAAATGAATTCACTGTGATTGAGGAAGACCTCACATTATAACTGTACCTAACATTTACTGAGCACCTCCTATATGCTGGACAGTATTTAAAAGTTTTAACATGGTGAGAAGAATTACTTCATTTAAATTCTTCTAGTATGATTATTAGCCCTATTTTACAGAAGATCCTGAAGCATCCAGAATTTCAGGATTTGTTCAAGGCACATTCCATTAGGAAGTGATGGATGCCAGATTCAAATCCAGTGTCAATCCAGAGCTGAGGCTCTCAACAACAATTACATACTATGTCTCTTTTTCTTTTCCATTCGACCAGCAAGCCCTATTATTTTATGATTCCAGTTAACCAACGAAGTTAAAGTTATAGAAAGATAACAAGAGAAAAAGAGCTGTAAAGAACAATAAAATAAAAATGTTACAATTACAATTGCTTTGTTCTGATTTTTCTGAAAAGAAATTATCTTAGAGTTTATTCTGTGTCATTTTTAATGTGCCAATATAAAAATTTTATTGTTGGATGAGAAAATACTGTGAACATTTAAACAATACAAAATATGTAAGATTCTTGTTCAGTGCAGGTTAAGAGAAGTGCCTGTTTCTCCTTTACTAGTCAACATATTTTTGGTCATACAGCATTATTACCAACTATCCTTAAGAGTCCTTACTAACAGACGGATCCTGAAAACTGACAAATATCATGCCAAAGAATAACACATGGATAAACAAATATCACTACTTGGATAACTTTTAAAAATTCTATCATATTATACTGTGTTAGTTCCAAAGATACCCATGAGGGTTAGTGATGTATACAGAAATGGAATGGGTGCAATATACTTTCATTTACTTGAAAGTAAAGAGCAATACTAGACATCACGAAAATAGAAAGTTCTCTTACCAATTATCCACTATCAATAAGACAACTCATATTCACTTAGTACCTATATTTTACAGACATTCTTCATAAAATTTTGTTTCCTTAATTCATTGCTACTTCAAAATACCATATGTCTATATGAAAAAATAAGAGAGGGAAGGGGGAAGGAGAGACAAAAAGAGAGATAAGAAGAAAGGAGAAAAAGAGGGAGAACGATTAGGTCGAGGCAAGCTCCAAGAAAAAGAACAGATGGAGAAATATGTAACATTTTGATTCACACTGTGAAAGTATAGTCCAAATAAATCTTTTTATTTCAGAGGCTCTACTGTTTAACATGCCTACATGATAATATATACAATGATAATATTAAAGAATATCAGTAATAGCTGGATCATGTAGATAGAGGATTTACTATGAAACTAACTAATATTCTAAGACCTTAGCATGTAAAGGGAAAATACTGACCTTAACACACATAAATTCTTTATAATTACTAACCCTAATTTGCCTATTTATTTATAAGGCTAGGTTACATAACAAAGTCAGCTAATATTACCTTAGAGATCTAAAACATTTAGAACAGGCATGATAGCATAAACCAGTGTCTGAGAGATTTAAACATCAAGATCCTGAGTTTGAAGTGATAATGAGATGCATATAGTAAGACTCTGTCTCAAAAAAAAAAAAAAAAGAAAACAAAGCAATAATAAAAGCAATCACAATAGAACACTGAAGTTGATGAATAACTTTTCCCCTTCTCAGTGAATAATAAAGGTCTTCTGGGGGGCAGGGAGGTTCAAGACAGGATTTCTCTGTCTTGGCTATCCTGAAAATCACTCTGTAGTCCAGGCTTACCTCAAACTCAGAGTGCCTCTGCCTCATGAGTGCTGGGATTAAAGGCATGCACCACTACTGCCTGGCCCCATGAATACTATTTTTAAATTTTACTCAGTCATGAATTTTTGTTACAAATCAAAGATCTCATCTATATAATATTCGTCAATTTCTATAGGGGTTTTGTGCATGAGAAAGCATCATTAGATGAGCTAATCAAACAGTATTAGACTACAACAATGTTAAAGACATATCTTCCACTCAAATACAGTCATCAACACGAACTTCCAGTTATCTGTCATTCACTCCTTTTAGAATTAGTTTGTAAAGTTAGCACAGGAAGGCTTGATAGTCCTTCTTACCCCTTCTTTTGGGTCTGTATGGAGTCCTCCTCCTGCGTGCCCATGCCAACATGTTCTCTTTTCTATCAATGGCCATGCCTGGAGAACCTAATTAAAGATGATACCAAGCTGTCTATTTATTAGGTATTACAGAATTTCAGATTGTCTTAATCTAATGTAACAATCGTCCCTAAAATAAACCAAAGGGATTGCATCTAGCATGGCATAGTAAAGCAAAACACTTTTAAACTTAGCATACAGATAAATTTATACGAAGAATACTTAAATATAACAAACACTCAAGTTACTTTCTCTAAATAGCTTTTGAAATTAGTTTAAGTGATTTAGCTAACATTAGTTTTACTTAATTCATCCTGACTCCCCTTCTGTCACTCACTATAATTCTGTAAGCAAACAAGCAAAGCTAATATAGTTAATGATTCATATTTCACTTGCTATCAGTGCGTAGATATTTAATAATCTAACTTATGATCTACTATTTTGCATACGTGTTTTTATTTTTTCTATTGCACAGTAAATTTCTTAAAATTAAGATCAATATTTTTTGAGTCATTTTATCTTCTATGATACATATTATATATTAGGCAAAGTAGACATCAATGCTTTTTGGATTCAATTAGAAAAAAAGAGCTATATACACTCTCCCAAGAAACCTTATATAATATCTTATCTACTATAAAATTTTCAAAGGCTTTAATATTATTGCAAAAGTCAGAGATATAAAATAAAATCATTTGGAAAAAAATATAAGAATTAATAAGAAAATGACAATTAGGCTTAATATTTAGATTTTCTAATACTGAAAGTTTTCATGATTAAAAATACTAAATGAGATAAATAGACTTAATGATGTTTTTGTGGTATTCATAACAATCAATAATTAGTGCAAAGAGCATTGTTTTTTATGAATACAAATATATATTGATACTATATACAGCATAACAATATCAGCTTAGAGTCAAGGTATGAAAATAGAATTATAAAAAGCAAAAGTATCTTCCTATTCTTACTAATGAGACATAGAAAATAACTGTCATAAATGTGTTATCGATTTTTAGATTAACATTCGTAAAGCACTTGGTAAGAGGAAAACATCAAAGGGCGATTTTTATTCTGACAGCATCTTTTGTTGACTTTTTTCCTTTAAAAAGCTAAGCAACAAGTTTTAGTAAGGGTTCTGGTAAATGTCACATAAGATGTTGAGGTCTACAATGAAGTAGAAGATTGAAATATAAACAAATTCAGTGATATCTTGGATAATGAGAAGACTGAACATATTTTCTACTTAAAGATTTAATAGTGGAAAACAAATTCATTTACACAGTTTCTGCATAAATTAGAACAATACTTTGTGTCTTAATGGCAAACCATTACTAAATAAAGTTCCCAGGATGCAAATAGCCTTATAACTTTTTGTTCTTTTTCTATCGTAGTGATTTACATGTCTCATTTTGAAGCAGTGGTAATTATGAAAGATATCTTTCACATAAATTAACAATGAAAATAAGCCTCATCAATATTTAAACTCAACATCACTTATCCTCGGGGCTCTAACAAACTTAAAAATCCCATGGCATTCTACTATCTGAACATCTTCTAAGGTAAAGGAATGTTCTGCATTTGAAAAAATGGCAATATTCTATGTATTAGTCACAAATTAGGATAAATTTAGATGTCAACAAGCTGCCATTACATTTACAAAAGCTTTCTAAAAATGTTACTCTAGTTGGCACTAATCTCAAGGGATTCAGACAGATTTCTGCAGTGGTAGATAATACCAAGATTTTTTTTCTGCATTCTTAATAGAAACATACCTTCCTGCCAGTATTTGTAAAAAGAAAAAAAATAAGAAAAAGGAAAAGTATTTCTGAACTGTAAAACATGTAGTAAATATACAGCATAAATTGGTAAATGTTCCATGGGCTTACAAACTTTTCTTACTAGCTGTACAAATGTTGGCTAAATCTTACCTTTGTAGCATCTAGTAACTGTCTTGAGTTGTCTTTTCCCCATCTCTGCTGTGTAGTATTCCTTAATGATTCAGTAGTCTATTGAAGAGATTAAAAAGTTAGGATAGAATTTCAGAGTAGAGACTTAAGATTATTCTTTTGTTCAAAAGCATACCTAAAATTAAAACCATTGTCAATGTTAACAGGGATGGTTACATCTTTAATACATGCCTAAAAAGACAGATAAGGTTTAAATTATATTACTCATTAAAATATCCAAGTAGAATTATTTACATATCCTATCTCATTTACTTGTCCTTTTAATTTGTTATTATTTTATATCTTTGCTTTTAAAATCCCCAAAATCTTTAACATCACTTCCCTTTTAAATGGCTTTTACATATCAGCCAGTGCCTAGCCACAGCATGCTGCCAGACCAGAGTTTGAGTAAGCTGCCAGGCAGGTACTCTCTCCTCTTGGTCATGGGTTTCACAAGAAGAAAAAGTTGCAGAGAGACACACTTGGCTAAAGAAACACAACCAGGTTTTGGATATACTATAACATAACCAGAGATATGGCCACTGGAACACAGATTGGGGTAACAGATGCAGAAGTGAGATACAGGAGTCTGGAGCTGAGATTTGTTTCCCTACACACCCTAGAGTTAATAGCTTAAGAAGACATCACCCCTCCCACTGCTTGGGCAAGCTAGGGGAATAGGAGAAGAAAGATGCTCAACATGGCAGAGCCAATGGATACTACCAGAAGAAGCTAATCAGTGACAAGCAGGCAGGCCCTCTACACTTCCTCAAAGCTTTAGTCACAGAAAATTCAATTAATAGAAAGAACAATTCATAAAATACTAGAGACAAACTTGTAAATGATAGGTGAAGAGTCTCAATCTGGGGAATTACAGCAAAGTATAATATACACATGAAAATGTAACACTGCTACAGAAGACAATCCAAGAGGAGACAAAAGCCACATCATGCTGACTGGGAATGATAATATAAAATCTTCTATTTTATTTATTTTTGTTGTTTTGCTCTAGACTTTTATACTATAATCATTGTTTTATTTTAGCTTGTATCATAACTGAACAAGTTTTTGGGACTAATGCCCCCTCTGTGTGTGTGCGCGTGTGTGTGTGGGTTTCTTTGTTGTGTTTTCTTGTGTCACAGCCAGAAGCTTCCAAATCCTCAGTACCAGAAAGCAAGCATCAGAAAGGTGTCTCACAGCTATATATTCAAAAGGCTCAATGGTAATACAGAAGATTCAAACAAATAAGTGAAATACAAAAACCTATTCAAGACCTAGATGAGAAAGTGGATAAAGTGTGCAGCAATTTAGAGGACAAGTTTTAAAACATGGAGAAAAAATACAGCAAGGAGCTGAAACTCTGGGAAAAAATAATTAGTGTTGGAAATACAGATCAATCAAGTGAAAAAGAAAAAGCATAAACTATCACCAATCGACATGACCATACAGAAGAACAAAATTCAGGAGTGGAAGACATGCATTTTAATGAGTATGACCAAAATTTCTAAGAATTGTGGGATAAGTTTAAGAAAACAAATCTAAGAATTTACCAGGTAAAAAAAGAAGGACTAATAGCATACACAATTTATTCTACAAAATGATGACAGAAATTTCTCTAAAACCTGGAGAAAAAACTCAGCATCAATATACAAAAGGCATTTAGAAATTCAAACAGACATGATTAGATACAACATATTATAGTCAAAATGTTTAAAATATAAATCAAAGAATCAATATGAAAAGCAACAATGTGAAAATGCTAACTCACCTAAGACAAACATTAGAATAACATCAAATCACATTATCAACTTTAAAATCACCAACGTATAGAATGAGGTATCCCAAGACTTGAAAGTAAAATAATTGCCAACAAAGATGGCCATATTCTGAAAAGTTGTTTTTAAAATACATAGAAAAGTCAGAACATTTCAAAAGAAGGGCAAAAACAATTCACAGCACAGGAACCAGCATTGGTAAAACTGAATATGAATTTGATGCAGAGAGAAAAAAGAAAACCTCATCCAGGACAACATAGGAAATGTTAATCTCATGGGAGGAATAAATGAACAACGGAGAGCTAGAAAGAAGTTTGCTTGTTTGTGTCTAACAAATGGAATAATAACGAGCAAATCCATAGTTAATCAAATCTCTCTCAATAACAGTCTTAAAGATACATGGCTTTAAGCCACCATTTAAAAGATGAAGTCTAAGTGCATAGATTAAACAACAACAACAACAACAACATCCAATCATTTACTATCTAAAACACATAGCTCACTCATAAGAACATCCTCAAACTAGCAATCAAAGGATGGAAATTAACCTACTAAGCAAATGGAATACAAAAAGGAAAGCTACTATTCTGCTATTTAATAAAGTAGATTTCAAACCAAAGTTACTTAGAAAAGGTAAAGAAGGCCATTATATACTGATAAAAAGAACCACTTAGTAAGAATATAAAACAACTATAGGTAATTCTGGCACTCAAAACTTCATTAAACAAATACTAAAAGGCATTAAAAGATCAAATAGGTCCTGATACAACAGTAGGAGTCCTCATTATCACATTCTCATCTTTAGATAGGTTTTCCAAAACTACAGAGCAAACATCAGAGCTAAATCAGACCATAGATCAATCGGATGTAAACAAGTATCTACTGCCTATAGAACTTTATATTGGTCACATTCTAGGCCACAGAGAAAGCTTAAATAAAGAAAAATAAAAATCAATTTTTGTATCTAACTAAAACATAGTAGACTAAAACTAGAAATTAATATTATGAGAAATCACAGAAACTATAGAAATATTTGGTTGGATACTGAACAATGTATTTGAGAACTGACAGTATAGGATATTGAAGAAACAAGGAAAACAATAAAAATGTCAGAGTCAAATGAAAATGATAGTGCAACTTACCTGGAACTTTGTGGCGCAGCTAAGAGCAATCTAAGGAGAAAGCCTACAGCTAGGGGGTGTTATATTAAAAAAAGAATTGGAATTTTGATGGAAGAGCAATTTGCAAATTCATTTGGAATAACAAAAAACCCAGGATAGCAAAAACTATTCTCAATAATAAAAGAACTTCTGGGGGAATCACCATCCCTGATCTCAAGCTGTACTACAGAGCAATAGTGATTAAAAAAAAAAACCCCTGCATGGTATTGGTACAGAGACTGGCAGGTAGATCAATGGAATAGAATTGAAGACCCAGAAGTGAACCTACACACCTATGGTCACTTGATCTTTGACAAAGGAGCTAAAATCATCCAGTGGGAAAAGGACAGCATTTTCAACAAATGGTGCTGGTTCAACTGGAGGACAACATGTAGAAAAATGAAAATTGATCCATTCTTATCTCCTTGTACAAAGCTCAAGTCTAAGTGGATAAAGGACCTCCACATAAAACCAGATACACTGAAACTAATAGAAGAGACCTCAAATACTTGAGCACAGGGGAAAAGTTCCTGAATAGAACACCAATGGCATATGCTCTAAGATCAAGAATTGATAAATGGGACTTCATAGCATTGCAAAGCTTCTGTAAGGCAAAGAACACTGTCAATAGGACAAAACAGCCACCAACAGATTGGGAAAAGATCTTTACCAATCCTTCACCTGATAGAGGGCTAACATCCAATATATACAAAGAACTCAAGAAGTGAGACTCCAGACAACCAAATAACCCTATTAAAAATGGGGTACAGAGCTAAACAAAGAATTCTCAATTGAGGAAATTCGAATGGCCGAGAAGCACCTAAAGAAATGTTCAGTATCCTTAGTCATCAGTGAAATGGAAATCAAAACAACCCTGAGATTCCACTTCACACCAGTCAGAATAGTTAAAATTAAAAACTCAGGTGATAGCAGATGCTGTTGAGGATGTGAAGAAAGAGGAACACTTCTCCATTGTTGGTGGGGTTGCAGGCTGGTACAACCACTCTGGAAATCAGTCTGGCAGTTCCTCAGAAAACTGGACATAGTATTACCTGAGGACCCAGCTATACTACTCCTGCATATACCCAGAAGATGCTCCAACATATAACAAAGACACAGGCTATGTTCATAGCAGCCTTATTTATAATAGCTAGAAGCTGGAAAGAACCCAGATGTCCTTCAATAGAGAAATGGATAAGGAAAATGTGGTACATTTATACAATGGAGTACTACTCAGCTATTAAAAACAATGAAATCATGAAATTCACAGGCAAATGGATAGAACTAGAAAATATTCTCAGTGAGGTAACCCAATCACAAAAGATAAGTGAATATTAGCCCAGAAGCTCAGAATACAACTCACAGACCACATGAAGCTCAAGAAGAAGGAAGACCAAAGTGTGTGTACTTTTGGTCCTTCTTAGAAGGGGGAGCAAAATACTCACAGAAGGAAATATGCAGACAAAATGTGGAGCAGAGACTGAAGGAAAGGCCATCCAGAGACTGCCCCACCTGGGGATCTATCCCATATACAGTCACCAAACCCAGATGCTATTGTGGATGCCAAGAAGTACTTGCTGACAGGAGCCTGATATAGCTGTCTCCTGGGAGGCTCTGTCTTGCAGCCAACTATTGGTCTGAGCACATGGTCCCCAATGGAGGAGTTAGAGAAAGGACTGAAGGAGCTGAAGGGGTTTGCAACCCCATAGGAAGTACAATATCAACCAACTAGACCCCCCAGAGCTTCCAAGGATTAAACCACCAACCAAAGAGTACACATGGAGAGACCCACGGCTCCAGCCACATGTGTAGCAAAGAAAGACCTTGTCCAGCTTCAATGGGAGGAGAGGCCCTGGGTCCTTTGAAGACTTGATGCCCCAGTGTAAGGGAATGCCACTGTGGGGTGGCAGGTGTGGGTGGGTGGGTGAACATCCTCATAGAAGAAGGGGGAGGAGGAATGGGATAGGTGGTTTCCAGGGGGGAAACTGGAAAAGGGGATAACATTTGAAATGTAAATAAAGAAAACATCCAATTAAAAAACAGAAATTAAAATTAAAAAAGAGTCTCACATAAATAACCTAATGATATACCTCAAGGTCCCAGTAAGAAGATCAAGTCAAACTTG